CCCCAGCCCTCCCCCCAGCCTGCTTGCTGGAAATGCTCTTATGCCTTGGTCACTGATAACTGGCATATCCCTAAATACTATCCACAAGAGGAAATGTGGGTTTTGATTGGACCTGATGTGGATGATGAATTGCTCTCATATGTGAGATGCTTGAGGGCCAGTGAGCTAGTTGGACTTTATACCATAGAGCGTTACCTTCCGCACCGGGTCCCTATGCAATTTGGATATGATCAAGACCTTCCATGTTCTGTTACTCGAGCTAACTGCAATTTGGATACAGCCTGGGACTACAACAAGGAAATCAAGAATGTAAAATTGTATCTTCCATCTAGGCTTGTGGAGGCTGATGTTACCACAAAGTACTTGAAGTGGTGGAAGCAATCAGTGTCAGGTCTTGAAGATGCACGGGAAGCTGCTGTGCCAGGAAAAAAGGGAACAAAGAGTTTGAAATGTTTGCTACCGAGGGCTAACCACCCCTCTGTACCTCCCGGTTTTCCTCCCAAACGTAAAAGAATGGAAGCTGAAGATCCTATTGATGAGGATGAACTAACTGTATCACAGCTTTTGAAATTTCGCAAGAAGCATGAGAACTTTGGGATTATACAAGGTAGTGAGAAATTATCAAGTCAAGCTCAACATTTTGCATCTCCAATTGCACAAAAAAGATATGGTAATACCATGAAGTCAGATGAGAACATTGTAAACCTCGTCGGCGATGAATGTGCTGGCAGTAGTTCTTTATTTCAGAAACGTCAGCTGGAGCTTGGAGCTAGATTTGAAGGGCTTGCAACTATGGTTGACGAGTTAAAGGCACATAGATTGGGGATCAAGGTTTAGGAAAAGCTCATGAAAGAAGACCTCCTTTGAGTTGGTATGTCCGAAACCTGGCTTTTATTACTATGTTTTTGCTTAAACATCAGTTGTGAATACATACTTTTTTCTTCCTAAATTACTTAAATTTGTAATGGCAGTAAATTTTTTCATCCATCTAATGGCTTCATACATTTGACTTGATTTTTGTTTGCTCACTTGTCTGAATCTGGATTCTCTTTGTTTTGTTCGCTGAATGAGAAGGTTGAACATACAAACTTGATTAACTGTTTCAGTAGAATGAAAAGGCTCAACGTTCTGAATAGTGAACAACTGATCGCATGTTAACGGACAAGCAATTTTAGGTGAATGTTCACTTCTAGTTAGAAGATTTTTCTTCTAAGAAGTGCTATTTATGCTCAAAGAAGCTAGGAAACTGTGAGAAGAAAACTCACAATGATATATGTTACAACTCCCAAAGTCATTAAGCTTCTACTTATGTATAAAATCAGTGATAACTGCATTTCTTATTTCTTTACCAGTTGTTTTCTTCCTATATCGGTATTTGCTAGTTGACATGTCAAGTTGAACGGAATCTTATTAGCTTCCACATTACAATTCCATTGTAATTTTGTTGTAATATGGTATCAACCTCTTCAAATCGCGAGTTAAGGGTTTTTCTTTTTCTGGTGCAGGGAAAATGGAGGACGAGAATCAAACTCTTGAAATATCAGAAACTTGGTCTTTTGTATATATTCTATGCAGAGCTTATAACTCTGCCGGAATCTTTTGGTAACAACTTAACCTGTTGATCAAAGCCTTGAACCTACATTACGATCTTACTACCTAACAATGTGCTATGTCAACCAAAGAAGTTAATAGTTTTTTGTTTTAATGACCATGAAAACAGAATTCTTGAGTCCACTTTTGTTATTCAACCATCTTCTGAACTAGAAAGTTGAAAAGTAAAAAAGGCAGATACTTTTAATATCCACCTATATAAGCACTGGAAACAATGCTAATATTCTCAGCTTTTTATCCCAACCAACGTGGCACCATTAACATTTTTTTGCTCAGGAAAAAAAGAAGTTAATAGTGCCAGATTGGGGTCTATATTTTCAATGCAACAATGTAGTGTAAATTAATGTCACATAGGTTGGAAAAGAAATCGGAGTATTAAAGATGAGGAATGCTAGATACATTCTCTTATTACCTTCTCTATTGAGTTTATGTTAAGTGTATTTCACTTACACATAAATCTATGTATTAATGTATTAAGAAACTCTTTGTTCTCTTCACTGTCAAAAAATTAGTATTGTACATTAAATACATATATTTATGTGTGAGTGGAATACACTTGACATAAACTGAATGAAAAAGACAAGACGGTAAATGCAATATTAGAGAAGATAGCTAGCAATCTTCATTATAGATTTTCTTATTAGAAACCCAAATATGTTGTAGAATTCAATGTGATAATAAGGTCATGACATGTGTGGTACTCTTTCATTTCTTGAGGTTTGTCTCATGAGATTGTCTTAATAAAGTTTTAACAAGGCCACTATATCATGTCACTCTTTGTACACCTTTAGTTTTATGAATGGAATCTCTTTCTTTAAAAATAAAAAAGATAATGTCAATTTGGTTGGAATAAAAGAAATTAAGAAGTGTAGCATTGCCACTCTCTCTGGGAGTGATTATAGAATACAAATAGGGTAACTATCAAATAACTATTCAGAAAGTCACTCATGATGGCTCCCAAAATAACTATAAATTTTATTTCATTTTTCTTCTGGAGCAATAATGCACTTTCTTTAATTTTAATTTTAATTTTTATTTTGGTTAGAAGCAATAATGCAATTAGCAACAATCAAATTGTTCAAGACAGCCATCATCAATTCAAGCATTTAATATTTTTACTTCTGAAAATGTAACCAAGCATGTTTTCTTTAAAGAGAAAGACTTTTATGAAACGAGAATAACACTATTTTATTATCTTGGCAAATAACATTATGACATGTATTATAATACTTTCACGTGGCACAACAATATTGGCCGGGATAACAAAAATATCCGTTGTAACTAAATTTTTCTTCTATTTAAATGGTGGAGGAAGCCGCGTTTCAGTGTTCCATTTAAATAGAAGGCGTCATATCATTAAACCTTCATTAACGTGACAGGAGGCATCATATCATTGTTTCAGTCTTCCAGAGCAGACAAAATAGCCTCCCGCCTTACTCAGTTTGATTCCATCAATGAAATTGGACCCGTCAAACCAACCATTTTTCATATTACTCAATAAAGAAGTTAAATGGAAATGGAACGAATTTTCAAAACCCAATTTGTTCTTTTCTGTTTAATACTGAGCTTTGATTCAGACCAAAAACAAAAGAGAAAAGTCTTTAGCTTTGGTGATGGAGAATCCACCGGAGACCATGGTTGAAGAGAGAGAAGAGTACATGGTTTCACCTACGGGAGAAAACCCATTTCGTAAAAAAGCCTACTTTCTAAAACCCACCTGGTCATCTTCCATTGATGAACCTTCCTTTGAGCTCCCTCGTTGCTTTTCCTCCTCCCTCCCAACCGATTTTAAAAGTAAGGCATGGCATTTGAAGGTTGAGTACTATGGATGGCGATCCAGCGCCAGCCAAAAAAAATGGAAAACTTGGGTTGATCAAATGGCTTCTGTGCATCATGAAAAATGGAAGGAGGCTGGTATATATGAAGCCATCATTAGTTCAACATACGAAATAAGAAAAGTAGCCAACTTGGTTATTGGGTTTACTGAGAAGTGGTGTTCTGAGACCAATACTTTCATTTTCCCATGGGGTGAAGCAACCATCACATTGGAGGATGTTATGGTTTTGGGAGGTTTCTCGGCTTTGGGGGCCTCGGTTTTAAGCCCTCTTCAGAGCAAACAAATGAAAGAAGTCGAAGAGAAACTCATTGAAGGGCAAAAAGAAATTTACAGCAGTGGGAAGAGAACGGTTACCGAAAGCTTGTGGCTGAAGAAGTTCATGAACAGTGGGAATGAATTCGAGCACGAAGCATTTCTTGCCTTTTGGTTGTCCAGGTATGTTCTTGTTGGTTCTCGTAATTCAATACAGAATTCTGTTTTTTCTGTTTTAGTCCATTTAGCTAGGGGGACCCGAATCGCGCTTGCACCGGCTGTTCTTGCTAGCATTTATAAAGATTTGAGCTTGTTGAAAAAGGCAATTGTAGGCTCAAAGGAATTAGATTTCACCCTCAAGCTGAAGTCACCATTTCATTTAGTTCAGGTTTGGGCATGGGAAAGATTCTCAGAACTTAAGCCAGAAAACCCAAATCCTATAAAGTCTTCTGAGCCAAGAATGGCTAGATGGGATAAAGTGAATGGTGTGAGAGTTGAAAACTTAAGAAGGGTTTTAGACTCAGCCAGAGAAAATTTCCTGTGGCGCCCTTATGCCTTGGTCATTGATAACTGGCATTTCCCTAAATACTATCCACAAGAGGAAAAGTGGGTTTTGATTGGACCTGATTTGGATGATGAATTGCTCTCATATGTGAGATGCTTGAGGGCCAGTGAGCTAGTTGGACTTTATACTATAGAGCATTACCTTCCGCACCGGGTCGCTATGCAATTTGGATATGATCAAGACCTTCCATGTTCTGTTACTCGAGCTAACCACAATTCGATTTCAGCCTGGGACTACAACAAGAAAATCAAGAATGTAAAATTGTATCTTCCATCTAGACTTGTGGAGGCTGATGTTACCACAAAGTACTTGAAGTGGTGGAAGCAATCAGTGTCAGGTCTTGAAAATGCAAGGGACGCTGCTGTGCCAGGGAAAAAGGGAACAAAGGGTTTGAAATGTTTGCTACCGAGGGCTAACCACCCCTCTGTACCTCCCGGTTTTCCTCCCAAACGTAAAAGAATGGAAGCTGAAGATCCTATTGATGAGGATGAACTAACTGTATCACAACTTTTGAAATTTCGCAAGAAGCATGAGAACTTTGGGATTATACAAGGCAGTGACAGTGAGAAATTATCAAGTCAAGCTCAACATTTTGCATCACCAATTGCACAAAAAAGCTATGTTAATGCCATGAAGTCAGATGAGAACATTGTAAACCTCGTCAGCGATGAATGTGCTAGCAGTAGTTCTTTATTTCAGAAACGTCAGCTGGAGCTTGGAGCTAGATTTGAAAGGCTCCGAACTAAGATTGACGAGTTAAAGGCACATAGATTGGGGAACAAGGTTTAGGAAAAGCTTATGAAAGAAGACCTCCTTTGAGTTGGTATGTCCGAAAACTGGCTTTTATTACTGTGTTTTTGGTTAAACATCAGTGATGAGTACATTCTTTTTTCTTCCTTCATTACTTATGAAAGTACTTGTAGGATGTCTATATATGCATAGAGAAGGTTAAACAGGCTAATTCGAATATTTTGCAATAAACAACAATTAACTTTTAAAGCAGGATTGATATGAGTTATCAATCCTAGGATGCGCAGAGCTTAAAGTAAAAGAACACGCAGAAATTATTTTACGTGGTAAAACCCCTCATCTAGGGAAAATCCACGGGACTCCTCAGTCCAACACAAATCCACTATAGAACAATGATTACAAGAAGTACTCACACACTTATCCTAGACCCATTATAGATAATGTTTATCGACTTATTCGTAACTCAACTTCTGTCATGGGATGATCTTCGACACTCCTTATGTTGAATGCAATACTGGTCACGATTGCCTCAAGCTCGCCGGAGGAAAACCACCACCACGGTCTTGGTGCCCTCAACTGTATGAGTCATCGATTAATGCAAATGAATGCAATATGAATGATTAAAGTGTTTGATAAATCACCAAGAAAACATGGAACACTTGATGATTTATCTCAAATATATGCACAGCAGCTTTCTTGGAATTTTAGATGCTCAAACCAACTATATGAAAACTCCCCCGAACTAAAGAGATGCACACAAAGATTTATACAAAACTTATTCTCCACAATCCACGTGAAGGCCCACAATCACAACACAATATCTTGCCATGCATTCAATCTGATAGTCTTAGAATCCTATATGATTTCGTCATATTCTCCATTGCACTACAATCAATTGTTTATCCAATTAAACAATATATATCAAGATGTAAACACGAAACCAAATAGGATATTAATTAAAACATCCTTTCCAAGTCCAAGATAATGAAAACATAATATTTTGATCTAAATCAAAATAGAGTCCAACTAGGAAAGTAATCTCAAGAGATAAAATATAATCCTATTAAAAATAGAATTAGCATAAAAATACTTGAGTGAAAATAATTCCAACTAGGAATCCTATAATGAATGCATGATTATGTCATAATTTACCTGTTGTCAAGTTTCTCATATGGTCAGGTCATGCCTCGGAAGTAAAAGGTTGAATTAGTTGTGCCAAAACGTCTAGTAACAATTCTTCACACACTAATTTTCTACCTATGCTAGAGTCTAGGAAATGATAATACAAATTTCATACTAACAACTTATATTTGCAAAATTTCTAATGGCAGCAAATTTGTTCATCCATCTAGTGGCTTTGCGATAGATGCTACATTTGACTTGATTTTTGTTTGCTCACTTGTCTTCATCTGGATTCTCTTTGTTTGTTCGCTGAATGAGAAGGTTGAACATGCAAACTTGATTAACTGTTTCAGTAGAATGAAAAAGCTCAACATTCTGATAGCAAACAACTGATCGCATGTTAACGGACAAGCAATTTTAGGTCAATGTTCACTTCAAGTTAGAAGATTTTTCTTCTAAACAGTGCTATTTATGCTCAAAGAAGCTAGGAAATTGACAGAAGAAAACTAACAAATGATATATGTTATAACTCCGTCTTGTAACTTATGATGAAACCTTGTGAAGTATTTTGACACACCCAAAGTCATTAAGCTCAAAGAAGCTAGGATGAAATATGGAATCATCCTCTTCAAATCGCGAGTTACAGGTTTTTCTTTTTCTGGTGCAGGGAAAATGGAGGACGAGAATCAAACTCTTGAAATATCAGAAACTTGGTCTTTTGTATATATTCTATGCAGAGCTTTTAACGCTGCTGGAATCTTTTGGTAACAACTTAACCCGTTGATCAAAGCCTTGAACCTACATAGCACATAGGCCAATAGATTTTGTAGTTACGATCTTACTGAACATACTACCTAACAATGTGCAATGTCAACCAAAGAAGTTAATAGTTTTTGTTTTAATGACAATGAAAACAGAATTCTTGAGTCCAACTTTGTTATTCAACTATCTTTTGTACTTGTGGAGTCGAATTTTTTTGATGGTGGTTTCAGGAATTCTAGTCTACTGTATTTTCGTGGCACGAAGCTTCTTAATCTAAGTAAGTATTGATGTAATTTCTCCAGCAGCTCTTGGATACTATTGTAAACTTCAGTTTTCAAAACAACTGAATGGTGGAACTATGTTTTTTCTAGTTACAAATTTCAATGGTTTTGTTGTTTGAAACTATGCACCTCTGTTTCTATCAAATTCTTTTGCAGTTCAAAAAAGAAAAAGAAAAAATCAAATCATTAGTTAGGAGAGGAACTTTAAAACCAAGAATCAAAATCAGTGGAAAAGAATTCCGATGTGCTTGCTTATATTGTGGAAGAAATTTAGGCCATATTTGGTATCCTACTCAAAAAAGTAAATTTAAAAATTATGATTCTTTTTAACAACATGAGTTTTCAAATAGTGATTTTAAGGTCTAAAAACTTTGTTGGTATTGAACTCCAAACTAATGTTAAAATCTAAAAATAATTGAAATTAAAATCAGAAAATCAAAAAGATTCGCAAATTGAAATTAACAAAAGAAAAGGGGAGAGAGAGAGAGAGAGAGATACACTACTAAAATATATGGTTTTTAGCACAATTGTTATTTGTGTTCTTTAATGCAAAAAGGCGCAATTATTCGTGCTCTATACTGATGGCCACAATGCAGCCACTTTAAAATAGTCGGTTTCCTCTATAGGAGTTTCCATAGTTCATAGGGCACGATTTAACTTTTTCGTGTCTTAAACTTGATACTTTTGGGCACATATACAACATATATCTGACAACATCGATTGCTACTTTTGATTTGACTTTTGTACATACACACAAACCATTCATTCGTGCCCAATGTCTTTACTTTTTCAATTAAAAAAAAAATTAGGGTTGCCAACCACCACCACCTCTTACATCCCTCCACCATCCAAATCAGCGCCACTTCACCTTTTTCTCTTTCTCCACTACCGCCACTCTCTCTCTCTCTCTCTTTCAAGTAATGCAAACACAATGAGCTCACTAAAATTTAAATTTTCAACGAAACTCACGCAAATAAATATAGAATTAGATTTAAGAATGGGGTACAAATGAAAATTATGCAAATATAAAATTAGCTCACTCAAATTAAAACTATCAACATCTTAATTCTTACTTACCATCTTCCAATACAATCAAGGCAAAATTTCTCTGTCTAACAATTGGAACAGTGAACAACTACAAACTTGTTAGAGCACTTCCACCAGTTAGCCCCTTGCCATGGCAAGGGGAGCCCTAGGGCAGTTACTATTCATGTGAATAGTGGCTGCCCTAGCTCCCCCCAGCAAATGTGTGTTTCCAGCAGTTAGCCCCTTGCCATGACAATTACTATTCATTTTTTTGTTTTTTTTCACAACTTTGTTTATTTAAACAATTAATTTGGATAATATTTTCGGATAAGACTTTTGGGTTCCTACGTGTCAATACTATTCATATCGGATAAGATTTTCGGTTTCAAATTTCAGATAAATTTCAGATACATTTCAAAATTCAAATTTGAGATAAATTCAAAATTTGAATTTCAGATACATTTCGAAATTCAAATTCCAGATACATTTCCAATTTCAAATTTCAGATAAGATTTTCATCCTCTAAAATTGCGCCACGTGTCATCTCTATATGTCTAAATTTTTCTATAAAACCAGAGGCTTAGCTCATACCTCCCACACCATATCTTCTCTACATCTTCATTTCTCATATTTTAGATTTCATTTCTCAGATTTTAGATTTCATTCTCCATTCTCAATGTCAGAC